GATAGATGGATAGATGGATGGATAGATGGATAGATAGATGGATAGATGGATAGATGGATAGATAGATGGATAGATGGATAGATGGATGGATAGATAGATAGATAGATAGATAGATAGATGGATAGATAGATAGATAGATAGATAGATAGATAGATAGATAGATAGATAGATAGATGGATAGATGGATGGATGGATGGATAGATAGATAGATAGATAGATAGATAGATGGATAGATGGATAGATAGAGAGACAATGATACAACATTTAGACAAAAATGCATTTAAGCTTTTTTATTGTCAAAGAAAAGTGGAAAACAAAATAAAAACAGTGAAAGAAAGCGTCGGGTGTCTCTGACTTCACACAATCAACCATGAGGTAAGACACGTGTGTTTATAAACGTTATTCGATCGAGAGGAGCCGACACACAAACAGAGGAACTGTCTCAGGAGTTCACGTCTGAAAATGCGAATCCTGCAACTACAGAGTGAAGACTTGTGTTATCATGGGGTCACGTGACACACGTGGTTATTGCTGAGATTTACTGACTCGCTCAACCTCCTCACACACACCAGTACAAAAACACATTTCCTGCTCGTGATAAAAAACGCAGCCTCTTAACGCTGCCACCCTGTCGAGTCCCAAGTGTTGTTCTTGGCACATTGAAGGTCAGGTATTCATTTACGAGCATTTTAACGTCCTAATGGTTCTTTGTCGGAGGAGTTCCCTGAAGCAGGTTTGTGTCCATTTGAACTTTGAAGAGGTGAAGTTCTGGTATTTCCTCAACTCGCCTTAAATCTAATGTTCGGTTAGAAAGTCAAAGAAAGTGGTCACTCCATTTCCTCTTGAACAAAACTATTGTTAATCTACTGGTCCTATTTATTTTGAAAATGTTAACAGAGAATAGTTAGTTCCAAAAACCCCACACACAAAATAAACCTACAGCTAATAAAGTAAATCACTTCTACACCAAACATCATTTGGCAAATGTTTCATTTTCCGTCATGGTGGTTCTGCTGTCAGTTTTTACTGAACGTGTTTCGACCTTAACGCTTCGGCTGAAACTCACTTCGTGAATCTTAGAATAAATGATCTCGTCTTCTTCTTCCTCTTTACCGCAGGAGTCCGACATGTGGCCACAGCAACAACACAAACACGTTTTAATGACGTAAACACACGGACCTGTTAAACCATTTCAAACTCATGGAACAACCTTGTGGTGAAATCTCACAGTTCAAGAGTTTGTGCCGTTAAAGCTGAAAGAGTCCAAAATGGAAAATGACGTCAGGGTTTCATTTGTTGATATTGTGAGTCTGTAGTTTTTTGGAGACATGAGCTTTGTTTTTTTTTCCACCGCTGCTTCTCATAGTTATGGTTTAAAGGATGTTACATGAATTATGATCTTTTAAAACAGCGTTATCAACAACGTGTGATTTACAGTCAGGAGACAGGAGGACATGTGGGCCGTGAGACGTCCAGCGAGCTAACAAGCTTGTCCAGTGATTTTGTTATTAAAGATTCTGTTTTATTTTACAGACTCGAACCAGATTACAAAATCGTGCCAGTTACATGAAAAAGTCGTATTTATCAGTGTTTCTCCTGCTGGACACGCGTGTGCTCCAACATGTTAGAAATGTAAAACCTTCAAAGATTCAAATGCATAACAACGATAACTGTGAAGAGTTGAATCGTATTATTGTTGTAATCGTTTTTACTTAGTCTCTTTGGGGGAAATGCTTTTTTTACTTTGTTGTAGTACCTCAGTTGGCCACAGGCTTGAATTGGCAGTGAGGCGTTGTGTCCGCGTTAGCACGTGCATGCTGCTGATTGACAGTTAGCAAACTTGTTAGCTCGCAGAGTTTTTCCTCTCACGCCATATTGAAATAATTGATGTAAAATCCTGAGAGTAAAACGATACCAGCAGGGGGCACACTTCACGGATTCATTTCATTTGAAAGTCAGTTTTTGTTCGTCCGAAGTCATTTGGTTCATAAAAAGGTTTCACACAGTTGTTTCCCTGTGTTGATGAGCTGCTGCTGGACATCGTGGCGTCTTCGTTGAATGAATCAGCATCAAAACTTTAATCTAAAAATCTTTTTAACAACAGGACGGAGACGACACGAGCTACTGTAAAAAAAGAATCCTCTCCTACTCCACCACAGTAAAGGGTCTTTAGTGTGAACGAGGACCTGGACAGCAGCTGTTCCTCAGAGGAGGGTGTCGATCCGGCTGCTGGGGTCCAACGAGTCTCCGAGGTCAAACAGCTGCTCCAGGTTGACGGCGGAGCTGCACAGGAAATCACTGCGGCTCTGATCCTCTTCTTCGGGCCAGGGGTTCTCCAAAAAGGCCGTGGCGAGGAAGGTCTCCTCGTCAAAGTCCGACACGTCGTTACTCCTCTGGGTCTCCACCAGCACGTGGATGTCTGCTGTCCCCACGGGGGCGTTGATGGGGGAGATGTGGGTCCCCCGCACAGTCAAGTCCTCCTCCTTCATGATGGGGCTCAGAGGTTCTCCTTCGTCCAAACTCAGCTCCCCGCTGAGGGCGGAGTCCAGCAGGGCGTCCCAGTCGAAGTCCCCCTTCAGAGGTCCAATCTCCTTCTGTTCGTCCACGGAGAGCAGTGGGGAGCTGGAGCGCCGGAGGACTTTGGTCGCACCACTTCTGGAGCCCAGCGACTGTCTCCTCTTGACCCCACCTCTTCCTCTGACCACCGGCCAGGAGCCCAGCATGGTGCCCTCAGCCAGATGCGGGTCCCAGTTCTGGTCGGCGCCAGTTGCCTCTTCGAACTCCCGGAGGAGGCGCTGCGACTCTGGATTGATGCCCAGGCCCGTGGGGCCTCTGGTCGGGGGCTGGGGGTTGACCCTGAGCCTGCTCTGTAGCTCGGGGTTGATCTGGACCGGGGGCATTCGTCTCTTTTTGTAGGCGCCACTCAGGAGGCGCTCGGCGTACTGAGGGTCGATCTTCCAGAACCCCCCCTTCCCTGGCTCGTCCTTCTGCCGCGGCACCTTGATGAAGCACTTGTTGAGGGACAGATTGTGACGGATTGAGTTCTGAAAACAGATTCAGAAAAACAACTTAGTTCAGAAGTCACGTTCAAATTCATAGTTCGACAGAAGCTGCTTTCGGACATGTGAGAGGCCCCGGACTTTCTGCGGACGTCCTCCAGCTGTCGTCCTGGCGTGAAATCTGCAGAAAGTCCCAATGAGCCGATACGAGAACACAGTGGACGTGTTGAGGACTAAATGCAAAAGACACAAATGATCCAGAGATCTCAGGATGAAACGGAAGAGCCACGTCAGTCTCTGATGTTCAGAGACGACACGTGATCTCTGCAGCGGAGCTCGTCCGTTAACATGGATGTGAACGATTTACTGTCCAGACATTAAACGTCTCATCTCACCCTCAAATTTGTGGAGTTTCCAAATTGTCAAACTTTAACTCTGAACTTACAATAACTCTCTGGTAACAAGGTCGGCACCACATTAATGCCCCCCCCCCCTCAGTGAGGTCTGAATAGAGCGGTGACCTGACGACCTCTGTTAAATATTATCTGCCCCATGTTCAGCTCTAAAATAACAGAACTCTGGAGTCGGAGGCCGACGCTGGAACACAGGAGCAGCTCCGTCAATCATTTATCCTGCAAAATTAAACTTTTCTGAAAACTCCTGAACCTTCCACGAGGAATCTGCCGCCCCAACGACTCCCGCTCCTCCGTCGCCTCGTTCTGCTCAAGCAGAAAAACCCGAGGCTCGATTTATCACTCGTGTCTTTTAATGTCTCTGGCTTTTGATTGATTGATACTTGATGTCAGAACTTTGTGCTGCTGTGAAATGGATCTATTCAATATTCCTTTAATTAAAAAGACTCAGTGCAGCCGGCTGAGATCTGACCTCAGATCAGAAGACTGAGACAGCTGGTGTGAAGAGAAAGTCGTTTACACACAGAGGAGACGACACGTCCTCTAAAGAGGCTAATGGACGTGCAGTCTATTGTGTGTGTGTGT